TGAGGGAGAATGGATATAAGCAGACCCAGTTCCTTCAGGTGTTAATATTGAACATACGAGGGATTGTAGATTATAGGAATTGAGATGTCACAGGAACTTAGGGGCGGGAGGAAAACACTCTTACCACAAGGTGAAAACATGAAGACTGTGGACAAGATAACATTTGAGCCAAAATTTGAGGGAAGACAGTTATAGCTGTGTGTGGGGGGTGTGTGTGTGGGTGTGTGTCAAATTTGCCAATGAGATTTTAATTATAGCTTATTGGAAGGTGATGAACCCACATCAGAAGGAACCAGGACACACAAGAAAAGCAAGAAAAGTTGATTTAGAAGGAAGCATTTGTGTTTGAAGATATGGATAGGAATTACAGGTGAAAATGGATAGCTGGTAGCTATAGTCTTGACATTGAAGTCCGTATCAGAAGCTACTGAATATTTGGGGACAGTGACTATGTACTTTGTTTAAATGGGGAGATAGGACAGCAGGGACAGGCCAGGGACTCACCTCTCTAGAAGGCTTTGCAGAGGAGCCAAAGCAAAGTTTGGGGTTTCTACTTGCCATTGTGATGGATGTGACTTCAGGGTGACCATGTTCTCAAGAGGCTGAACCCCTGGAGACAGCCTGAGCCTGCTGCCATCTGCCTGCAGTTAAAGAGGCAACAGCTATTTCATAATGGGAATTCTTTTTTTTTTTTAATTAAAAATAGGCCAGGCTCTGGTGGTTCACGCCTGTAATCCTAGCTACTCAGGAGGCAGAGATCAGGAGGATCACAGCTTGAAGCCAGCCCAGGCAAAATAGTTTTTGAGACCCTATCTCGAAAAACCCTTCACAAAAATAGGGCTGGTGGAGTGGCTCAAGGTGAAGAACCTGAGTTCAAGCCCTGGTATGACAAAAATAAATAAATAAAACTAAAATTTTGGTGGTACTACAGTTTGAACTCAGGGCCTCATGCTTACTAGGCAGACGCTCTACCACTTAAGTCATGTCCCCAGCCCAGGAATTCTGCAAATGGGATATGGAGTCCTCATGATAGGAAGAAGACAGGTGTTAGATAGCCCACCCTCCATGAAAGAAGAAGGGCAAGAAATGTGAAGTGCTCACCTCATCTTTGTTGTACCTCAGTTTACTCTTCTCTAAAGTGGGGATGAAAACAGCCCCTGTTTTTTAGGGTTGTTGTGAGGGTTAAAGTCAATGCCAAGTGCTGTGTGCTTGCCATCCTGGGAGGGCTACACAGACACCATACACACCTGTATTTCCATTTCTGCTCTTGCCATTCGGACTGCATATCCTCCACCTTGATCTTGCCAGCTACAGTTTTGTGCATCTTTTTATTCTTTAGGAATTTGACTAGTGGGCTGACAAGGGTTGGTCAGAAAACTGCCTGTGGCTTGGTGTCTGCGGAGGAGACAAACACAAGGTGCTTGCATGCAAAGTGTCCTGCCTCCAGTTCTTGCTTGCTATTGGATATTCCAGGTCACTTCTCATTCTTTGCTTTTCCTTTTTACCTCACGCGAGCCCATCAGCAGTTGCTGTGCCCCTTGACTCTCAGTGAGGATATGAACCATGATAAACTTGTCCACTTAAACACCTCTTAACTTTCTTCCATCCTAGCTTTTAACTGAGATGAGGTTGTTCCCGTTCTATTACTGAAGTAAATGAAAGTCATTTACCTTCCTTGTGGTTGACTCTTAGCCTTTCTTCCCTCACGTCCCTCTTGCCTTTGGAGCCCTGTAGCATCTCCACCCTGGAGCTCACCCTCACTTGCTCTTTCTTCTCACGTTTGCTAGAGTGAAGTCATTGCATGGCTTTAGGAGTTTGATAAGATTGCGCTCCATGTAAGACACCGATGTGTCCTCCCACGCCATCTTCCTTTCTCATCTTGATGCTCTGGGTAGAAGTGGTCACAACTCTATTGCAGTCCCTTTGTCACTGGTGGGATTGAGTTCTGATAGAAAGTCTCTGCATTCACAGGAGTAGGTAGGACTTTGTTCTCTGCTGAGCTGAGGACAAGTCCTCAGAAGTTGGGACACTGCAGAACTACTTTAATAAGGTTCCAGTTAGTCTTCCAATTTTATATTCTTGTCAACTTGCTGTCAGTGAGATGTCGTCTTCCGCAGTGAAGCAATTCAATGAAGTTTAATTTCCTTTTATTCATGGCAACTCGCCTTTCATTAATCTGACCTCAGTGGCAGCACTGAATTGATGTATGAGATTCTTCTCTTCTTCTCTGGATATCTTTTGTTGTTGTGCCATTATTTTTCTGGGGATCCTGGAGGCTGTGGTTGTAAAAACAATAGGTAACTCATTCGCAAAGGCACAGATCCATAAAAGTATCTGTGGTCATATTCTCTCTCCCATTCTTTAAACTTGGCCTTATGCTTGCTAGACAGGTGCTCTACCATTACAGCCATGCCCTCAGCCCTTTTTGTGTTGGCTATTTTTTGAGATGGGGCCTTGTTTTATGCCTGGACTGGCCTGCACCACAGTCCTCCTCTTTGTGCTCCCCTATGTGGTAGGAATGACAGAACCATGCAACTATGTACATTCATTGGTTGAGATGGGGTCTTGTGAACCTTTTGCCCGAGCTGACTTCACACATGAACCTCAATCTCCATCTCTCAAGTAGCTGGGATCCAGGCTTGAGCCACCACATCAGCCTCTCTCCCACTCTAAGACACCCCATTCCCAACCACATTGTGTCTCTTCCAGTGGACATCCACTGTGTTAGTGTCACATTTCCTTCCAGATTTATTTTATGCCCATAGGAGCATATGTTATTTGTTCCTATGTACTCACGTGCTGTCTTTTCTTACTGCATCATGTAGCCAGGTGATCTTTACATATAAGTACGTAAAGAGGTTTCTTACTCTTTTGTGTAGTTGCACAATATTCCACCATTTGGACACACTACTTTTCCCGTAGAAGGAGTTTTCAGCTTCCTGGTGGGTTTTGAGATGAAGGTTCTGGATAAGAATGAACAAGTAGAATCTACGCTGACAGGATGCCACTTAGGCACACAGATTGAGGCTTTATGTTCTTCATGAGGAAACTATTAATATCATCTTGGTCTTTAGTGAAATATCCAGCTTTTCACATAAACTTTTGACAGTCTTAGAACAGGCAAGAAGGGGCATTGCACACATTCTTAATAGATTATTTTGTAAGCTATTGGGTCCCCAATCTTGGAATATAATGGGTTGGCTTTAAAAGATTATTCTCAGTCTAGCCAGATGAATCTAGATTCATAAGGTTAATAAAAGAAATAAAGATTTGGTACCCATTATACGAATGGGATTTGAGAAGTTTGGGGCTGGGGAAACTTCCCTGGGTGATAAGTAACCCACTTTCCCATCCATTCTTATTGAATAATTAGATTTGGGGTGGGAGGAATGCAGGGCTATAACTTTCTGGAAGAAAGGTAGATGACACATTTTAACTCATAAATATTTGTTTAATTGGATGGAAAGCTTGAGCAAAGAATTTTATAGTGTGATAAGGTGGGCTGTAGCAATATATTAATGCATACATTGAACAGAAAAAAAAAGTGGATGTGTTAAGGCATTAATATGAGGTGATGTTTGAACTAGCAGAACATTGGAAAGCCATAATTTAGGATGGAACGTTAAGCATAGAGTTCACCTTATGCTTCCTTTTCAAGTAAGTACTGCTTTTAATGACCTTGAAAATCTTATTTGTAGCCAAACATAAATCTGGAAATATAGATGTTTCCGTAGATGAATTTAACCTGTTGGCAAAAGTGTTACATACTAAAAATGAATGCTATTATTATGAATCTGAAAAGGAGAAAATGACCTATTCTATCCCCCCAGGACCTACTCACTTCCATGTTTGATGCCCCTGTAAGAGTTTCTTTACCTTTAGTCTGTTTTTGTCATATTGTTGTTTAATAATTCCTTTGGCAATTTGGATTAAATAGTGAGTGAAATAAGATTAAGCAGAAATGATTTCTATTCATTTACCTTCCATTCCTTCAATTTATTTATCCTTTAAACTGTAGAATTAAGCACACGGAAAGTTAGCAGTGATAATCTTTATGGTTGATTTCTTTGAGAACCAGTCAGAAATACAAAGCAACTAATGGTGATAGTATGCATGTGTAAGTATCCACTGTCAGAAGTATCCAGAGCACTTGTATTCATCAAAGCATTGCTTTGGCATTAAATTAGGAGCCTTTGTTTATCAAATGACATACTAGGTTTTCATGAGACTGCCTCAGGATAAGAAAGAAGAAGTTGGGAGCTATGGAGCTGACATTGGAGTTAGGAGCATTTTGTGTTTGGCTGTTGGTATTTAGCTTCCTGAAGTTATGAAGGTTTGGGGAAGTGGGAAATCCAATTCCAGATTCATCAGATGTCATGTGATGGCCTGGGCATGTGACTAGTTTTACTGTGGTGTTTTTATATTCATTCTCAGTGAGGAGACCAAAGCAAGCTAGTGGAAGTAGACAGAGCCTGAGAGTCAGTCACTCTCTGTTAATAGAGCTCTTATCTTTTGATGCTTGGTTCAAGACTTCTTCCCACAAAGTATTTTTTTCTTGAGAACTTTTGATTTAGGGTAGAATTTTCTTGCAGCTAGTGGGCTGTGTCCCAGATTTGTTCTCTCCATAGCCAATGCTGCTTGAAACTTGTGCTGTAGTTGGATTCAGATTTCTGGCCTTTTTGTGATGGGTGATTACACAAAGTGTATTATGATTATGGAACAGGATGGGATGGGTGGGCAGACCCTGTGAAAAAGACGACATTCCTACAGAAAAGACTTTTGTGTGACGTGGCTAGAGTCTGCAGACCACAAACTGATTAAGCAGAGAAGCTAACATGGTTCCTGGAGAAACTGCCTGTCTCTCTTCTGCTCCAAATCAGGGTGTCCCACTTAGTAGTAGAAATACAGGAACGTATTTCTCAATCTGAGGGATGTGCTATTATTTTTTTTTCCTTCTGTTTCTTTATTGGTACCTGTTGACTTGGTTTCTTCCCATGCAGGTCTGCAGTCTCCTGTTCCAGAGGTCATTGTTGATGTGGAATCCATGGATATCTTCCCAGTAGGATGGTGTGAAGCGAATTCTTACCCTTTGACTACACCCCACAAAACTGTCTGTAAGTGTGGACCAGTTGAGCGAGATGCAGATAACATCTATGATCTTGGTGAATTAGTAGGCAGTTTTGTAAAGGAAGTTGTAAAAAAAAGAAAATAAAGGCTTTAGATGACTCCAAAGAGCACCATATTTTTTATTTCAGTTGTCCTTTAAGTGTCTGAATAAGTGAAACATTTGGATACATTTCACAGGTTGAGAAACTGAGTCACAGTAAGGAGGCAATCGAAGGTCACCAAGAGACATAGGGAAAAAAATGTCTGATGTCTTCACCTCCAGTTTTCTGTACAGTCCATTATTTTGATTGGAAAAAATTTAGATTAGATACCATATTGTAGTATCACTTCTTAGAACTTTTTCTCATAGTTTCCCCTAAAGCAATCCTACTTGGTCTCAGTAACTTACTGATATAAATATTAGCACAAACTCGTCAGTGAGATTTCAGCTGTACTTTAACAAGTAACAAGTAGATTAGCTCACATCCTTGTGACTACAGAAATATCAAATAAAACCAGTATTAATGATTTATCAATCCAGTCACACACACTCACACTCAAGCATATTTAAATGTGTACAATCGTAGTTTCAATATGCATTATTGTATCATTTTCACCAAATTATACCCCTTAAAGACCTTCCCAAACTAATGCACTTACCATTCCACTGTAAGGTGTACCAGAGATAGTTTTTGAAATTTAGGAGTCCTTAAAGATAATGGATTAGATTTTGTTTATATGTCTAGTATTTTTTTGTGAAAATTGTGTGCCAGCTTTACTTCTTTCTAGCACCATTCTGTGATACACTCCTGGACATTCTCAGGACAGAGCTCCATCACACAGTTGGCTTCATATTCCCAACACCACAGTTGAAGGGTCCCCAACACAGTACTGCCAGCATTATCCTCTGACCTGACTGGTGGGCATGCCTGCTGAACAGGTTAAGGATTTGCCTCCTTGTGAGTGGTGGTAGAGGAGAGGCACTCCTGGAATTTAGTGTCCTACACTTAGTTCCAGAGATACTATAAAGAGAAGAAATGATTCTAATTAGGGAAGACTCATTGAGTAGCAGTTATCTTTGCTGGGTTCTGTTATGGGGTTGGAGCTCAGTCCACTTTGTCCTTGTTATCCCCCAAATAGAACCTACTGACCTGTATCATTTCCCTCTGTCCTTCACAAGGATGGATATGGAAGGCTACAGGTGCTTTCAGTTCTTGGAATAAAGTCACACGTTGGTTAAGGCACATGTAGCAATGTTTCCTCTTTATTTTGCACGTCGCTTCTGGATCTGTTGTTTTTGGCTTCTCACCAAAATAGCATGCAACCAGTGCTCCTGACCTTTAGTAGCAGACAGTGTTAGACAAGTGACTCTACACATTTTTTCCACCTTGGAGGCATAATAAAATTTGATGCTTTGTATAGCAACAACTGGAATTGAATACCAGATAAAATCAGTAATGGGTGCTGTTTCTTGAGTACTTCTCTTATTGATTCTTGCATTCATTTCTTACCATTTTGCTTTAAGGAGGCAAACTCTACCCTGCCAGGTGCTATCAGCTTTAAAAGTTTTAGTGGAATTAATTTATGCTTATGTTGGAAGGTAAAAGATTATCTGAGCCAAAATTAATGAGGGCCAAAAGCTCTGGCCTGTTTTTGTTAAGGTGGTCTTAATCAATTAAAACAGAAACTGGAAATGTTTTTTATCACCACAATCACCATTTGCTGGTTTATATTGATATTTGACCAGATATATTTGCTAGCCACCAGCTCTCTTTCCGGTAATTCAGTGTTTTAGTGTAAATGCATGCCTCTGGGACTTATTTGTGGGTGTCCTATTCTGGGAGTTTGTTTGCCTTATCACAATTGGTATGGGAAAAATCATTCTGGATAATCATACTTGCAACACTTCAATCTTGGTGTGTATTTATGTGAAGTAAAATATGTGTGCTTTTTTTCTTTCTTATGAAAAGCACATTTTAAAATAAAGTAGCCAGTGTAGTGATAAAATTAAATGTACTGAGTTCTATTAAGATCTTGTGTCTGATGTGTTCATATCTGTTCTATGCTAGGAGAAATTAATGTAAAATTATAGTATAACTGGAGTAACTTTTCAAATTGTTATTTTAAAAAGCAGGAATGTTTTTTACACTAAGCCATTTTTTAAAATGCATTGGTCCCACTAACAGTGATTGTTTCTTTTTTCCTTCATGTTTTATAGCACAGAAGAAGAGAAAGATTGCAGTTGTACAGCCAGAAAAACAGTATGTTGGTTCTTCTTCTTTTCTCTAAAACTACTGTCTACAGACAATAGAAAACATAGATGTCTTTGTTATAGAGTTAGTTGGTGACAAGCGTTACTTATTGTGCACCTGTTATGTGTAAAATACGTTACTTGCGCCCAAAGAAATCTACAGTTCAAATTGTCATTTCTCACTTTTTATTTCACACTGGTGAAATGGCTGTGTGTGCTAATGATTCTTAGTGCTCCCACACTCATGTGGCAAGTGTAGCTTAGAGGGTTGTCCCCTTTTCCTGACCTTGAGTGCCTGGAGACAAGGACGTCAGTTTTACCCCCAAGTCTGCCACTTCCCACTGGGTGAACTTGAGCAAGTTGCTTCAGTTCTGTGCAGACCAACACTCGAATTGGTATGCAACCTATTTCTCAGGATTTTATGAAGATTAAATTTGAATTCATGTGGAAAAAAAACTGTGGGGTCCCATTTCAGTTGTAATTTTGTGAGGAAATTGTAATTTTATTTAGAGCAAAGTGTCATACCTCTAGGTAGTAGGTTTTTTTAAAGGTTGGATCTGCTGGTGAACCTTCCATATATTGTAAAATATTTAAAATACGCCAAAATGTACGTTCCATACAAAGTGACTGTGTTTTCTTAAGTAAGTAAAAACATATTGACGGAAAGTTGACTGAAAATAGCATTTTGTGGTACTCAAGTTTAAGTTGAAATACAATGAAAGTGAACCATAACTGCACAGTTATTTGAATGAGAATAACAGTTTGGGGAGTATTTTTTGTGCAGTCATTCCCAAATGCTGTATCAGGTTTGTAACCTGACTTCATTTTATCTACATGACATGAAGTAGAGATATTAATAGACCTGTGATTGGACCTGAATTTGCAGCATCAGTCTGTTACAGAAACACATTTTGCTGGGCCCTATCCCCAATATTTTTGATTCACTGCTTTGAATCGTGGCCTAATTATCTGCTTTTCTAACAAGTTCGAGTGACGTCAATGCTGTAAGTTGGGGTGCCACACTTTGAGAACCACTACCGAAAATGCCCCTCTGGGATTTCCTGTGTAGTGGTCTACTTTGAACTTATGTCACCTTTCAACTGTGTGGTTTCTGTCTAGCCACCTTGGGGACCCCTGTGACCCCCAACTCACCTCTTTTTCCCTAAGGCTATGTTTTCTTAAGGTATTTATTCTGCATGTTATTAACTGCTAGAATAAGCCTACTTCATATTTTAAGCATCACCAGTTTATAGGTTTTTCTTTTAAGGTCTTGTTTTTAGGGTGACCATGTCTACACAGGCCCAGAGGTCAGAAATCCGAGGTTAGCAGAAAGTGGTTTTTAATTAGACAAGTGGAAAAGTCTGAATTTAATGAAATGTAAATTATACTAACACATGATTGAAGACATTACTACAATTCTGTCACAAGAGGCAAGCTGAGCAACAGTAGATAAACTTCATTGAGCAAGGACGGCCACTCAGGGGCAGTTGTGCCCTGGGTGTCTTAGGGTCATCAAGATGCAAGATCTCTGACATGATCTTTTTATCTGGTCCTGCTGGGGCCACTTCTTTGCACACATCCTGTCTTAGGATGCTCTCATCTTAAATTTCTGGAATAGTCACTTGAAATTATGTAAAGACTGGAATGTACTCATTTCTTCTTAAATTTGTGTCCCATGACAGTTTGTTTTCTTTATCCACAGATTGTCATCCACAGTGCCTGTTGAGAAAATACCTCATGATCTTTGCTTATTCCCTCACCTGGACACTGCAGGTAAATGGATCCCACTGAGGGCTCTCTGTGGGAGAGAGAACTTTTAATTCATAGCAGTGAGTGGAGATAGAAGTGTAAGTTTAGGTCATTAGCTCAACTTTGAGCCTCCTTTCTTTTTTTCTGTTACTACTTGTTACAGATACATACATTTTTCTTTTTTCATTTCTAAGCTAAAGTCTCTGTACTTCTTTCCTGGTCAGTAGCTCTAGACAGGTCTCCTGATTCACAAGAAAAGGACCCATGTGATCCTTGGACATTGAAAACCAGATTAGCACTATTTGTCATGGACCAGCATGAGGAAAGGAAAGAGATGAATACACTATCATTAGGCATTCCTCTTTTCTTTGACATTTTATCACAGTTCCACTTGCATTTTTACCCTAGTGATTATTACTTAACCCCCCCCACTGGCTTTTGAATTGTTGCTTAAAACCCTTTGAGTCTGAATAGCTGCTGTGTGCAATAGGTATGAAGCATAACATCTAACCTTTCAAAATACAATTGTGAGCTATTATTTGACCACCCAATCTAACAATAGGTATGTTTGTATAGTAAGTGGTACTTGATTGAGAGTTCTGTTTTCTTAGCCAAAATGAAATTGCTCTGAATTCCGGAATTAAAAGCTATGCGGCAGAATCCCATTAGTTGAAGTTATCTTTGTAGTAAAGAGAGCAGTTTTATCTAATTAAAATAGTTTTTTCCCAAAGTTTTGGGTAGGGTAATACTACTAAAAGTTTATAAGTAAATACATCTGGGAACTTAGTTATTTTGCCTGTTGTTGTAAGGAACTCAAACTTCAGAATGGTTTTAAAAGAACCATGTCAGCTACCCTGTAATGGCCATTTTACTTCTTTTTTCATATATCTAGAATAAAAGTTCTACCTCCTACCTGTTGGTTCTTAGTTGGGAGTCCTTATAAAAACAAACCTTCCTAGATTGTTAAATTACCATCTCCAGTTAATAGCACTGTTTATATAGAAATACCACTCTTCGTGCAGTGTAACCTGAGGGTAGGAGCTAGATGGGCACATTGAGAGGTGGAGTGCGTGCTGATTTCCCTTAGCCCGAAGTGAAACCTCCATTTGTACTAATAAACATCAAGAAATGATGTTAGCTGGGCACTGTGGCCCAAGGCTCTAATCTCAACTTCTTGGGAGGCAGAGATAGTTTGTGGGACTGTATGTCAACCAATCGGGTGGGCTTGCGGTACTCCTTGTCATCCCAGCTAGGGAGGAGGTATAGATAAGTAGGTTCAGGCCAGCCTGGGCAAAAATGCAAGACCCTATCAGAACAACAGGTAATGTAAAAAGGGTTAGGGCTGTGGCTCAAGGTGTAGAGTGCCTGCCTAACAAGTGCGAGGTCTTGAGTTCAAAACTGGTACCACCAAAAAAAGATGAAGAAGAAGAAAAAGGCAGGAGGGGGGGAGGAGAGAAGGAAGGAAGGAATGAAGGGAGGGAGGGAGGGAGAAAGGAAGAGGAAGAAAGGAGAGAAATGAAGGAAAAAAACCTTTAATAGCCAGGCATAGCATATCCATATGGTGGATATCCATACAGTGGAGTCATATACAGCGGTGAAAACAGAATGAACGTTCCAGCATTTGTTGGTAAAAATTCTGTACTTTTTATCATCTTGAACATATCCCAGAAACATAAGCAGACAAACAAAATGTTATGGAAAGCCATTTATGAGATTTTTTTTAAATGTCTAAAATACATAGTACTTGTAGGTATACACATATACATGGGACTTTGATAGCAAGTTCTGGTATTATCAATACCAGATTTGAGGCAATGGTTACTTCCAGAGGGGTGGTGAGGGGACAACTCAGTGGGGTAAGACACACAGGGGATCTTAGCTGTGTAATCATGTTTGTCCCTAATCTACCTAGTGAAGCCTGAATTGTCATTGTCACACTCTTTCTACCTCTCTGTGAGTCTGAAATACTCATTCTCCACAGAAATGTATGTTTCTGTGGTGGAAAAATAATCGCAATTTCTAAGATATTTTAAGGATATAAAATGTCTTGATGTTAGGACACAAGGCACCTTTCTTCAGAGAAGAAAATCATCTTTTTCTCTGCTTCTCTAACACAATTTGGAACCGAAGTGATGTCTCCTAAGTAGAGTTCACCAATGCTGGCCTTTGTGGTTGTGGTGTATATTCAGAGTCCATTTCTTTTGTGACTCCAGATGTTTCATCCATCAAGACCCTAAATCCCAGACCTGTGATCCTAATCACCACCACCTTGTTTCCTCCCCACAGGAACTGTCAATGGGAAGTACTGCTGCCCTCAGCTCTTCATCAACCACCGTTGTTTCTCGGGCCCATACCTGAACAAGGGGAGGATCGCAGAGCTACCTCAGTCTGTGGGGCCTGGCAAGTGCGTGCTGGTGCTGAAAGAGGTAACGCCCCTCCCGAGCTTGGCTGACTTCTTTCAACAGCATCTGGGGCTCTGAGTTCAAACCCCGGTGCCACCAAAAAAAAAAAAAAGCAGCATCTGAAAGAGATACTAGATGATCAAGGTCATTTAGTTCGCATTTTTATCAAGCATCTCCTTTCTCTCATTCTGGGGACTGAAAGCAGGAGGTACAGAGATGACAAAATGATCTTCCTGCCCACAAAAGACTCAGTCCAGTGGACATACGTTCCTCGCGTGACTTGGGGGGAGGTGTTGTACTAAATTTGAATCAGTGCTATGAGAAGACAGGGAACTGATTGCCTATGGAGTGAGGGCTCAGGCTGAAGAGTCAGGATTTCTCAAAGAGGAAGCCAGTGTGGAAAGGCAGAAAGATGTCCTTTGAGACAGTAGAGCACATTGAGAATGGTCCCCCTCAGCTGGGTTGGTGGCATCTTTTTGTATTCCCTCCCTCCCACCACAGCACCCTGCACCTGCGTGTAGGAGGCTGTGGTCAATGTGTGGCCAACCTCCGAGTGTGTTCATGAGATTTGTGTCTTGGCACCATCTGGGAAAAGCCCAAGCTGCTCAGTAGGCGGAAGCTCCTTGCCATTTCTCTTCCTGCCCTCAGGAAGTGACCTGCAGGTAGAGGTAAATAAATCTGAGAGGCTGGATGAGGCTGGAGGTCTGTCTCTCTCTCTGTTGCATTTTTATAGCTTAACTTCAGACAGTGGCTGGAAGCAGACTGGCAATCTAGAACTGTTTTTCACATCTTCTTGGAGCTCTGTCTTGGCCCTGTATGCACAGCACTCTTTCTTAAGGAAAAGGACATCAGATAGACCTTCTCTCTTTTTTTTGACAGTATTGAGGTTTGAACTCAGGGCTTTGCACTTAGGAGGCAGGTGCTCTGCCACTTGAGCTACACTCCCAGTCCTTTTGCTTTTTTTTAGTTTGTTTTTCAGATAGGGTCTTGAGCTTTTGCCCTGGTTAGCCTTGGACTGTGCTTCTTCTATCTCTGCCTCCCAGAGTAGCTTGGATTACAACTATGTGCCATAATGCCTTGACTTATTCTTTGAAACAGAGTCTCACTAACTTTGCCCAGGTTGGTCTCAAGTCATGATCCACCTACCTCTGATTACAGATGTGAACAACTACATCAGGCATAAGTACAGTGTGGATTGCACAGTGTGGGCAAGCCATTCAAGGTGAGAGCTAGAAAGGGAAAGGCAGGTATGGCTGGAGTGGAAGAACTTAGGACTTAGGCTGGCGATAAGAAATAAGTATAAAAGAGTGTATTGTATTTTTGAAAAGAAAACCAAAGGAATCTGGCTTGCCTGCAGCTTCAGTGTGAGTTAGGACTAAGCAAATCAGAGGGAGATACTTGTGAGAGGCTTTCTCTGGTGTTGGAAGCAGTTTGAACTTGAAGCCCCAGGGCAGGGGAGCCCCTAGAATCACTGCACTAAAGTGTTTCCTACAATGCGAGAGTATCTTTGTGGCTTCAAATATCATTTTTCCTAAGGAGGAAGATCATGGAAGCAGAAGTCAGGCTATGCTTGCTTTTTTCAGGCCCTGGGTGGTATTAGTTAAAAAAACTTTCTAGATATTTTGAAAGAAATATTTGTTGTAGGGAGAAGGTGAGATTGCAGTTTAAAAGAAACCTGTAAGAATTGGCTACTATGGTTATTTGTTTAGGAGTAGTTAACCCATAGGATATTTCACAGGTAGGCCCAGCCCTGAGTGAACTTCCCATCAAGTAGAAAAGGTGAGCAGTCAGATGGAGCATGGCCCAGGCCTCCGACGTGCCAGGACAGGGGCTGGCCCAGATGCTATGAGATAGCACCAGAGTTATAGGTTATGTGCTGCGGTGCAGTGAACAGGTACCTGGTCAGGTGGAGAGAAGACATATACAAGGACTGAGGATGAAGGGAAGGAAAGCAGGATGGGTGCTTACAGCACCTCACATGAGAGGACTCCAAAGGTCAAACCCAGCAAGTGTCCAAATCTACAATGAGAGTGTCGGGCAGGCCCGGCCACTGGACTTGGCCCTTCGCCCACATTCTCACGTCGCAGCAGATGGGTGGTATTTTCATTTCAAATAGCTCTCCATAGAGTTTGGCATTATTTCTGGAAACCAGACACCGTAAGTCTTGTTCATCCTTAGCGGCAAATACTGTTGACAAATTACAAATTTGTAGTTAAAGAAGAATGGCTGTCATGGGGGAGGGGCAGTGTACCTGGCACTGCCTGAGATGTGGGTAAGTGGTAGGACCCTGTCTAACTGTCTGTTTAAATTGAGATGGAACATAGTTCTCTGTAGATAGGAAACTCGATTCAGAAAGAAATGAAGCCAGGATTAGGCGTAAGAAGTTCTGTCTCGCTATGACACAGGACCCCATGCGAGAATTCCCTTTCTTTAGTCCACCAGAGTTCTAAGCCCACAAATGAGATAGCGAAGTCCACCTGTATTCGTGCCTGAATGTGAGAGATCAAGGACACGGAAACTGACAAAAATACAGTGTGAGTGGGTTTCTCCATAGCTGCCTGGAAGCCTGATTCATATGACACATTCCAGGTAACGTGAGTTCTCTTATCTGCCAGCTGCGTTAACAAACAGCATGACCTTGGCCTCAGCCTCTCTTTAGGGTGTTGCTGTTCTACTTTACCAAATAACATTTTAAGCCAAAAGTAGTTATCCTGATCACTTCTCTGATAGGTGCCCGCAACCAAATTTAAAAGCCAGGCCAGAACAGTTATCCGATGACAAAAGTCACTTTTTGCTGATGTTTAGAAAATGCATGCAGCAAAAAAGGAAAAAAACAAATAAAGCACAGCGCTACAGTTCTGTGAGTCCAAGAAAAATGTAAGTTCCACCAAGCCAATCTTTATGCTAATACACTTCCTTCTCCAGCACCAGAACCTCTGCATGGCTTCAAATTTCATTTTACTTAAAGAGAATGAAGTAATTGAAGCAAAGACAGAGTGTGTTGCTTTTCTGGGCCATCAGTGGTACTGAAAGTTTAAAACACTTCTGTGTCTTCAAAAAATGTAAAATAAGCATTGTTTTCCCTCTCTGTGTCTTGTCTAGACACAGAAATGGATGTCTAGGCTAGAAATGGATAATTTCAGTGTGTGGGTGCAGGGGTGGTCTTTATAATGATTAAACTCAGACTGTGAGGTGGGGTCTTGGGCCTGTCTCAGAGAGCCATGTGGTAGAAAGGAGGAAGTTTCTGGCAAAAGTGATTGGGAAGGCCAGTCTTATACTCACTTTCTAGACTCGAGTGGGGTATGGAGGGAGCCAGAGAGTTGTCCGTGTCTGACCTCAGCTCTAGAGAGTATGCATTAAGGGGAGGTAGAAGATTTGGGATAAGTTTTGGTGGCACTGGGGTCTATACTCAGGGCTTTCCGCATGCAAAGCAAGTGTTGAACTGTTTGAGCCAGTCCTCCAGCACCTTGGAATAACTTGGAACCTGAGTCTGTAGATGGTTCACTCAGCTCCAGGCAACCCCTGGAAGTGAACTCAGAATGGAGCTGACCTTGGTGTTGAGGGGCAATTCAAGCTGTACATTGGTCCCTCACGTGGTACATTTTACTGAATGTGTGGACCCAGGTGCATGGAGAGTGAAACCTCTTAGGTACAGACATTAGTGAGGGTGTTTATCATAAATCAAACCTAAATGCAGTAGGGTCGTTCCCAATTGGAACCACCTGTTTGTAGCCCAAGTCCTTCTACCCTCATGCCAAGTTCACCACGGGATAAATGTGGGTCTGTGTAGTATCGTGAGGTCGCCTGCCCCTGCAGCAGAGTGTGGCTGGGCATGGTATTCCTAGTGTATTGACCAAGATGATCAGGAAATTGTTGCTTGACTTAAGTGATCTCATGAATCACCAGGCCTGTCGTTCTTTCTATGCAGTGTGTCAGAGTGGGGTGGGTGCGCAGGTGTGAAGGAGAGTGAGTGAGTCAGCGTGAGCACAAGAGACCAAAGAGGAGTGGGAGGTCTAATCTCGTAACTGACATCAGTATGTCATGGAGGAGTATTGCAGCTGCTGGTACAGGACATGGTGAAAGTGAGAGAAGACCTGCTGCTGGCAAAAATGATTCTGAAAGTACCCACTGTGGAAGAGAGTTATGGAGCCCCTGTCTTTGAAGAGACACTATCAGCCGTGGAGATGGCATCCCAGGAAAAACCTCAGGGTAGCTTGAAGAGATTTGGGGTGCATTTGTGGTTTCTCTTAGAAGTTATTTGACTTACAGTATCTGCCACTGTGCAATCTGTGTGCTTACAAAAAAAGAGAAGCTGTCCTCAACGGGGGAACATGGTGGCCTGACTGAAGATTGTTGTATGACCCCCATGCCCTCGTCAGAGGTAAAGGGACCGCTCCTGGCCACTCTCAAATGTGGCCTGACAGTTGGAGTCTGGCTTCATTTCTGTTGTTTGAAGTTTGTATTTCTGTCCATGGTTGAGCCATTAAGCAGTTTCCTTCCACTTCATTTTGATTGTAGTGTTTATTTCCCACATTTGGGGAGTTCTGGAAAGCTTGTTGAATTTCTCTTTCTTGAGCAATTTTCTTCTCTATCTCTATCTAACTTTTACTCAAAGACTAGAAAAATCTTCAGGGGGGAACCCAGAGAGTCCACAGTCCAGAGCAGCCTCTGCTGTTTGTGGGGATGGTGGAGTGCTGCTCATGAGGGTGGCCATACTTTCATAGCAGCTGTGTGTTTGTCAGAAGGATGGAGGGAAGTTGAGTCAGGCAGTAGAAATCATGTCTCATACCAAGGACCTTTTTAGATAATACTGGACAGAGGAAAACTCTTGCCTAAGTCAGTCAAAGTTAAACACAGATGCAGACATGCCTCTGGAAGGTTTCTGTTGTGCTTTTATTGCTGCCTCGTTGAGTTTATGCTAAATGTTGACTAATCCATTATGAATAATGTACTAAGCCTAAGTCCCTACATCACACATGATGCACACGTACAGCCTGGGGTACAGGAGAATGCAGGATGCCATA